GTTTAGGGTTTAGGGTTCAAGGATTCACCCAGGGGCTTTCAATGGGGGCTTTAGGGCGGAGATTCTGGATTTCCGGAGACGAAGAAAAAAGAAAACGGCAGGCCCCAGCACTTCTTCTGAGCACCGGGCGATGCGCTGGGTGTTGGTGATCTTGCCTTCCTTGTCCATTGGCCTGGTCCATTTAGGGCTCAGGGTTAGGGCTTTAGGCTTGGGTTTTAGGTTTGGGCAATTATTAGGGCTTTGGCTACCCATGGAATAAGGATGATTTCTAAAGTCTTGGGGGTATTCTTCCTGAAATTAGCTAGCTTTGTTCTTGTGATATGATCAGGAATCACGCAGCCCCTGATTAATAAGCCCCCTCCCTTTTGCAGGGATTATAATAGGGATTCTGATCCAAAGGCCCTTAAGGAAAGCGGGTTGGTGTTCCGGGGTCTAGATTAACCCTCAGCCTTAAGTTTTAAACCCCAAACCCCTACACCCAAAACCCAATCACGTTTTGTTGGGTGTGGCGGGAATTTCGTTGCGCGTCGTGAACACTTTTAAGGCCCGTAGAAGGGTGTGTAAAGGGTGTCACAAAGGGCTCATGATTCGTATGGGCTGTCCAAGGCCCTTGGTTTCTTTACTTCACACCTCCCTGAAAGCTCTGAGCTCCCACAAAATAGACCCTAACGGTTTAGGGTTTAGGGTATCAGGATTATGACAGGGATGCACATATTCAGGCTCTTGACGCAGAGGAGGCTTTCCAATCAGGGGTCAACAACCCGAAAAGCACTCGTAGGAAAGCCGAAAGCGTATGCGGAAGACCGACTCCCCCAATCCAGGTGGTCAGGGCCGCCCCGCACATTGAAGTCCACTCTCATGAGGACGCGCTTGTCTTTGACCTGGGAGCTAAGCATTAACGGCAGGGTTTAGGGCTCAGGGTTTAGGCTATAGTGTTACTTGATGAAGTTGGGTTTGTCATTGTTTGGCGAGTCTATGACAGTGCATGCAGGGCTGCTTGGCAAAAGATCGGTGCGTGCATATAATTCCATCGCCGATGCTAGTGATACACATCGTGTCTCAAATGGAACCTGAAACATAGACGACCGCTCTTCGAAAGAAACCAGACATATCAGGTTCTATGTTGGTTTTCAAGAGGCTACCCTAAACCCTAAACCGCATACCCCCAAACCCTAAACCCTAAACCCTAACCCTGAGTTAACCCCGAACCCAAAAGTTGGGAATCCATGGGCACTGTTAGGAAGCCCCCGCGCTCAACGTGCACGCGCTGGGGTTGGGGATGTTTTAGGGTTCAGGGTTTACTTACAGTTTAGGGTTTAGGGTGCAGGGATTAGGATTGAGGGTTTAGGCACAAACCGTTAGACTCTAGACCGTAGCTGCAGCCATAGATCGCTCAACCTTGAGGCTTGAGTGACACCTAAAACAACACTAAAGAATGGGAGTTTCAGAAGTATGGGACCCTGGTAGCGGTAGCATCCAGTAGAGTCCCCAAGGCCTGCTGGGAAACCCGCAAACTAAATCCATGTACACCTTCCTGCGAATCACTCGATCTTTTCAGGGGTTTGAGGCAGAGTTGGGAATCGCGTTCTTGAAATGTAAGTTGCCGGGTTCTGGGTGTAGAGCATCGAGACTCGGGCATGCGACTTCGAGCTCTTGCTGAGGCTGCGGCGTCCAATTCATTGATGGTCTTCTTGTTCAAGCTCATGGACGCCATGGTGCCTGCGTTGCAGAGGGGCCCGCTCAGCAAGCCGAATCCGCGCTGAGCGCCCTAGCATTGAGTATAGAATGATAAGAACAAACCCCTCATGATCGCCACGTTCATGAACATAGTGGTTTTGGGTGTCTGTATAGCTCGTCTTCGGTGCTCGGGATCTTGACCCCCCCCAAAAAAAAAAAAGCCCTAGAACCGCAAGAAAGGCCTTCAATGCGCCTCTGGAGCAGAAGAAGCTTTCTGCACGCCGCTCACCCAGCGACGTGAGGGTTCCGGTTGTGTACAGCTTCAAGGTTCGGGGGTTGAAGGATTCTCGGGCTTAGGGAGATTCTAGGCAGGTCTTTACCACAGACCCGAGGATTTGGGCTGAAGGTAACGGTCATCGTGAGCCTCATGCACGGGCCTGCATCGACAACCCGAGCTCCAAAACCGAACCCTCCCTGATTTCCCAGTAAAAGGCTTCGTCCAAAACCTCCTAAACCCCTTTAAACTCGAACTGAAACCCCAACACTCCCGAAAATCCCGTAAACCGTAGAGACCCTAAACCCTGAACCGCCAGCGCCAGCCAATGAAAGGCCTGGAAAGAAAGGTGTTTCGGACCCGGGAGCAGTTTACAAGCTTGAGCCCATGCCAGGCATTCTTCCAGCCTTAGAGGGTCTGGGAGTCAGAGGCCCTTGGGGTTTCAAGTTGAGGGTTTTAGACCCTTCAGGTTTCAGGGTTAGGGTTTGTGCCGTCTCTAGTCGTATTGGGAGCTTCGGGTGATGTCTGGCGATCACATGTTGAGGCCCCTATGGGGCTCTTTTTCAACCCGAACTCCCGAAAGGGCAAACCGAACCCGAGATCCAACGGTAGTGATGTGAAGCACTTCGGTGCCCGGGTGAGGCGTCTGAGGACCTGGGCTCATGTGGTCTGTATGTACGCATGAATGCATGTATGTATGTCTCTCTGCCTGTCCGTCTGTCTGTTTGCATGTCTCTATGTCTCTATGTCTATATGTCTATATGTCTGTATGTATGTATGTCTGCATGTATGTATGTATGTATGTATGTATGTATGTACGTAGGCAGAGCAGGCAGGCAGGCGAGGCAGCAAGTACATGCTGCACTTGCGCCTACATTAAACTGAGTCAGACCCAACAGGGGCTGTGGATGCGTAGGGAAATTGAGCTGAGGACGAGTTGGAGAGTCGCGATTATGTCTCCCGCTAACCCCCTCTGGGAAGCATCTGAAATAACCTGAGAAGTGGAGGAAAGTACGGGGGCATACACGCGCCACACTCCAATTACATGTTCTGTAGACATGTTCTGTAAAAACTTATAAAAATCACGGAATTTCCGGGGCACCCTACATGAAACTGCCGTGCTTCCTGGTGATCCCCGAAGACCCGAAATGTTTAGGGTTTAGGGTTTAGGGTTTAGGGTTTAGCTTGCCGCCACTTTTCCACTTTTCCGGCTGGCTGCGCTTGCGCGGTCTCCGGCACACAGCCTGGGACCTGGGTTGGGTTTAGGGTTTAGGGTTTAGGGTTTAGGGTTTAGGGTTTAGGGTTTAGGGTTTAGGGTTTTGCGGCTTTGCTGGAAGATAGGTGCCTAAATAATTACCCATACTATTTTGGGGGGGCTTCCTTCTTATATTTATGCTGGAATGGGCCCCAAAGCCCTGTTCTAATTATTAAGGCCCCTAAAGGGTCCCAAGGGGTTGGTATTGGTACCTAGGGTTTGGGGGGTTCGGTTTAGGGTCTAAAGGGTAGGGTCTCAAATCAAACTCTTCAAGCTTTGCGGCTCTCATGTCTTATTCTGGAAGGTTAAGATTTTAAGCTCGGCGTGGGGTAGTAGAATACATAATGATTCGACAGCCTGAACTACCGAACCTTCTTAAATTAAACAGGTGTAGTCAGAAATTAGCGGGGCCTTGGAGAGGTTTAGGTTTGGGGTAAAGGTTCCGAAAGCATTCGGGGTGTCACTTCGATCCTACATCAAAGCTTCCAGCCTTTAGCACGGAACCTTTAGGCTAAAAGCTAAAAGCTTTGGGCATTGCGCAAACCCTGAATCCAAGAACATGAGGCCACATTGAGTGTGCCGAAACCCACGCGCTCTACGGCAAGGAGCTGGGTTCTGTCAGTGTTAGCATGTTCAAGCGGCAGATGAATACTATAGTGGCCGAACCAATTACCAATACTATTTCGGGGGCTCCGTTTTATAATTAGTACAGCCTACCCCAAGCCTCTGTGCCAGAAACCCTATAAATAATCGAGTGACCTTACCAATTAGAATAGGGGGTCCCGGTTTGCATTATCCTTTACTTATAGGGTTTAGGGTTTAGGGTTTAGGGTTTAGGGATAAATATGGACCATAAAGGGACAACCATCACTGATAAAAATCCGACCCCGTACTGGAGCTCCTTTCTTCAAGGATCCGGAGTTTCCGGATCCTTGAAACTCCTGGCGGCTACCCGGTTGACGGTTCAGGGTTTAGGGTTTAGGGTTCCGGGTTCAAGCCTAAAGTTTTCAGCGAGGAGCCAAGGAAGTGCTTGTCAAAGTCTGGGCCGCTTGGCTTCCGGCTGGCTCCCTGGCACAGCGTTGCTGCGTCGGGCGAAGAGTTTCGGGCTTGAGGGCTTCGTGTTCTATCATTTCGGGTTTGGCACGGGGTTTGGGGTTCGGGGTTCAGGGTTTAGGGTTGCAGGGTGTTGGGGCAGGGTAAACGCAACCTGGCCCGGGAGTGCAGCCGGAGCATGCGTGATCAGAGTAGCGAAATACTCTCACTCACACGACTAGAACTGGTGATAGGCATTACACTAGTCATGGGTAGTGGAGGAATGCAGCGACAGAGCAGCACAAAACATGTAGCTGTGGCTGAGGGCTTCGCTTGAAAACAGCTCCTATATCTTCAGCTTTACGCCCCTTGGACCCAAACCGGAAACAGTAACGTGAATGACCCCTTCGACTGCTACTAGAGCAAGACCCTGAACCCTAGTAGCTTCGGGTTGGGAAGGTGAAGTCGTGAGGAGGATGTGAAATTCGGTTCAGGGTTTAGGGTCCACGGTTGTATAGGGGCTTTATAGGCTTTAGGCTTTAGGGTTTAGGGCTAAGAGCCGGGACTCTCACATGTGGCTGCCCGTCTTTGGACTTCCGAATTTCGGCGGTCTCGAACCCGAAAGAGAAAGATTAACATGCAAGGGACCCTGCACAAATTCTATCTTAAAGGAACCCCTGAAGAACCGATAAGGGAACCTGTTCCAGAACCCTTGAGGGAACCCCTCAAGAACCCCCTTACCCCAAACCCTAAGCCCCTAACCCTAAGCCCCAAACCCTAAATCCCTAAACTCTAAACCCTAAACCCCTAAACCCTAAACCCTAAACCCCTAAATCCTAAACCCCAAACCCTAAACCCAAACACCGGGAAGAAGCTCAGGCAGCCGAAGTTGTGCCCTCCAGTACGCATTGATGTCAAACATAATGTAGGGGCCTAATAGATAGACTAGGGTTTGGGGGTGTCTTATTTATGATCATAGTATGATGGGCCCCAAAACCCTGTTCTAATGCTTAAGGCCCCTGCAGTAGGATTCAGAAGGGATCTCTAGGGATGTACAAGGGGCATCTTAGGAGTCATAAGCGATCTAAAGCAATCTATAAACTTAGACTCCAGCCCTAGACACAAAATTGCGAAACCCTAGATTCCCCAAACCCTAAACCCTAAACTCCAAATGTAGCTCCCCAAACTCCTAACCTAGCGAAGCCTCCACCCCAAGACGCCCAATAAAAACTTTAACCAAACCCGACGCCCAACATCTCCAAACTCCAAAAGGCCGTCTGCGATTCTAAGGCTTGCATGAGCTTGCCCATAGCTTTGCCAAGTCCTAGGAGGCTTTATAGTGCCTCCCAGACCTCCCAACATCCCTGAAATAAGGAAGATACCTCAGATCAAACTAGGGATCCTACCATCATTCAAGGCACCTTCCTTCACTAATAGGGACTTTGGAAGGTCTTGGTTCTTGTAGGGTCTTCTAGCCCTAAACCCTAAAACCCTAAACCCCTAACTCCCTAAACCCTACATCCCTAACCCCCTAAACCCTAAACCCCTAAACTCTAAACCCCTAAACCCCTAAATCCTAAACCCTCTTGCTTGCCGCCGGGTACTCCAGCCTTGAGATCGGCAGATACCTGGTGCCTGTGCGGGCCAGGGCACTTGAAGCTCGCGCTTAACATTGGGGTTTCGAGTTTAGGGTTTGGGGTTTAGACTTTAGGGTTTAGGGTTTAGGGGTTTCGGGTTTAGGGGTTTCGGGTTTAGGGGTTTAGGGTTTAGGGGTTTAGAGTTTAGGGTTAGGGTTTAGGGGTTTCGGGNNGGGCTTAGGGCTCAAGGCTTTGGGTTTAAGGGTCAAGGGTTGAGGGTGTAGGGTACTGATTATTAAAGTCAGCGTGCGGCTGACGGGTTCCTAGAAAGTTTACGGTAAGGGTTCTATGATATGGGGGCTTTAGTCGCTAGACTAGGGTTCGTTTTGAAGGGTTCCTAGCGGGGTTACAGCAGGGGTTCTATGTTCTAGGGCCCTTAAAACTTAGAAAAGAGTTCAGGGTATGCTAAACTATGATTCATTACAGTGGAAGGTAAGGGGACAGCATTGTTGACCCTATAATATAGCCCCTGCAAGGGTTCCATAAGAACTCGAAAAATGTTCCAAAAAGGGTCTATAAGGGATAATAAGCCATAGAAAGGTTCTATAAGGACTTCATGAAGGTTCTATGAAGAGGTCTTAATGAGTAACCAACCTGCTTCAAGCTTTTGTACATAATTTTAAACAAGAATAGACCCCCAAAACCCTGTCCCAATCACTAAGGCCCCTGCCGTAATGAAAAAAGGGTATCAAATGCAAGGGTCGGGGGGTATTTGGGTTGAGGATGTGCTTTGGGGATTTGGGGCTTCTGGTTCAGGGTTGGGAAAAACTAGGGGGGGGGGGGGGGGGGGGG